GAATTCGGCTTTCAATTACATATTCCCCATCAAACTTCTCCCAGAACCCAAAACGCAAAGCAGAACCGACTACTATAGGCAATCCTAATCGAATAAACAAGCAGCACACAACAAATTAGCACCTTCTTGGGCGTGACAGCATCGAACACGTAGACCTGGCCACGGAACGACAGCGTGAGCTGGCTGGCCTCCTCCCCGCCGGCCATCCCCATGTCCCCCCCGGCACCGGGGACGTACACGGCGTCCGGCGGGATGTCCTCGATCATGCCGCCCATGCCGGCCCCCGCGGAGGCGCCGTCGTCCAGGGCCTGGGGCTCGTACCGGATGTGGGAGTTGTCCATGGAGTCGCCGGCGGAGTTCCCGGAGCCGTCCTCGTCGCCGGCGATCGGCTTGGGCAGGTTCACGTGGTGGGCGTGGGCGTACATTGGCGGGAATCGAATCCGGCGGCGGCGGCGGCGGCGGCGGAGGAGGGCAGAGCCCGGAGCATCACAGGGCGGGGGCGGACGGGCGGAGGGATTGCGCGAAACCCTAACCGCAGGGGACGGAGAGGCGAAAAAGGTTCGATCTTTGAGGAGGAGGGGGCGAGGGAAGGAGGGAGGAAATGGCGGAATTTGGGGGAAGGAAGGAAGGGAGGAAGGAAGGAGGAGGAGGGGATATGTGAAGACGATTTCGAGGGTTTGCAGAGTGATGATTTTTTTTTTTTTGGGGTGGGGTGGGGGGGGTGTATTTGTGAAAAACTGTGAAAGGAGAGTGGGGGCGCTCTCTCTCTCTCTCTCTAACACACAAGAGAGAGAGAGAGAGGAGAGAGGAGAGAGATTATCAAAAGAAAAAATGCTTCCTTTGGCGAGGGAGAGAGTGGGAGAGAGAGTGAGAGAGAGTGAGAGAGAGAGGGGGGAGGTTGCGACAGCACCCGAAAGGGTGCCGATGTTCACGAGTCATTGCCCCCCACCCTTCCTCAAAGTACACACATTTTTCCCCTCAAACTTAACAAATTTGTGTTGTGTATATAAAAATAATATATATTTAGATAAGTATATTGGGAGCCTTAAAATTTATCGCGAAATTCAAATCGAGTCCTAAAACTTGTCGCGAGAGTGCAATGGAGTCTTAAAATTTGTCGAATTGGTGCAATCCGGTCTTCCCGTTAACTCCATTCAATTTGGTTAACGGAAAATGCCGACTTGACCTTTTTTCTACTATATTTTTCTCTCCTTCGTGGCGCCGACGTGATTAAAACATAAAGGATAAGAGAAGCAATGCGAAATGGCGAGGGCTTGTAGGGCCCTCACCGCCGCCTTGTTGCCCCACCGTCCCCGGGAAGTGCCGACGATGGCCAACAGCCGGCAAGCCTCGCTGACCGTAGGCGAGGGCCTGCAAGGTGTCGCCCAGCTGGGCGAGGGTTGTTGGCTACCACTGATGGCCCTAGCGACCCTTGCCGGCTATCCCCCACCATCTCTGTGTTGGCTCTTCACGGCGATGGTGGGATGGCAGGAACGAGGTTTTAAGCTCTCGCCTGGTTTTCCCTTTATTTCTAAAGTTTACTTTTCCTAAAATTTCTATTAAAAAATTCAATTTGGACCAAAACAATGTCGTTACGTCTAAAGGTACATCTATGAGTTAATTCCAATTTTTACATATATAACCTAGAATCGTTCTCCCCTTATTCGATACATAGTTCGATTCATTTTTATCTCATTCGTCATTCTAGATGCCTACTAAGAGGCACTCCTTGTCAAGATCCTTTGGCTCTAGTGACCACTCCTAGCTCTCATCAAACGGGGTCGTTACAGGCCCATCAGCTTTACCATACACTCACTAGAGGGGTCCCGCTCTATGCCATGCTTTGCCATCTTTGGATTAATTTACTAAGGTATTGTCCGCTTTGGTTGGATCCATACTAAGCCTCACGATTTTATCTTCTAGTGTATAAGTGGACACCTTTCTGAGAGGTCACCCATTCTAGGAGTATTCCCACATGAGCATGCTTAGCTTTGGAATTCCAAAACTAAGCCTTGTCATTATGTCAAAAGACACATTTATGAGTTAATTCCAGTTTTCACAAATATATCTCAGGATCGCTCTTCCCATGTTCGGTGTGCAATTCGGATCAATCCTGTCTCTTTCTCTATCTTGGAAGCCTGTAAAGAACCGCTCCTTGTCTAAACCCTTTAGCTCCGGCGACCACTCCCCGCCTTTGTTAGATCGGGACCACTCCCCGCCTTTGTTAGACCGGGTCGTCACAATACACTTGTGTGATATTTACAATTTTTTACCACCAATCAAAAAAGTTGTTGGAGGAAGTTTTCCATCCACCCCAAAAATACAGCCCAACTCAAATTCGTATGGGGATGTATCTCGTGTGACCGCATCATATGATCCGGTTGATTATCGTGTCGATCGACCGGTTGAATATGATCAATCTAGTGACTTGATATCAATTAGATAAAGGTTTATTGTGTCGAGCCCATATTAAGCGACACGTTGACAGAATCATCCATCAATCTAGCGCCTTAACGGATCGCGTAGCGCATGGTGATGAATGATATGCCCCGAAAAAAAAAATATTTGGCAAAATCGTGTTAGCATGTTACGTGGCCCACGATCCTTTCTCACTACATCTCATTATTGGTTTCTCTATATTTCCCCACCATCCATTTGCAGCGGCTTTGTTGCCGCCTTTAATGTCCTCAACATCTTTGCTAGTCTATTTCACCGTTTCTCTCTGTCTCCTCATTGTTACTTAATGTCGGTGGCGATGTTTTGCCGCCTCCGTGCCGCTCTACCACCGACATGCAATGATTCCGCTATCCTAGTCCTTGATCTTTGACATCTCAATCAGCAGTTCAGGCTCAATTGGGGAACTGGCCAAGATCAATCTGACCAGTCCAATTCAAGGACAGTTTTAGGAGAACCAGAAAGGTTCATGGGTTACGAGCTTAAGAGCCGACCAGGTTCGGTTTGATTCTTGATTAGAGCCCTGAACCCGTAGGCTATCCTGGAACAGCATTGACTAGGTTGAATTTTTAGTAGAATCGATTTCGAATCGGCTCTAAACCGATTAGCACAAGTGTTTTTAAAAAAGAAATTGACTTTTCCATTATAAGTTACGAGCTAAAGTCTAAACCTCAAGTGAAAAAGGCTTACACTTAAACTCATGCCACACCCACCTTTAAACATGGAAATGCGACAAATAAAGAAGAAACAAGACCAAAAACAATAGGAGGTCAATTCTAGGTTTTACCGGGACTAACCAAACCTGTTCTGTTTTCGATACGATTTTGGAACTTGCTCACCCTTACAAGCCCTTGCTAACGCTTCACTCATTTCTAATCTAGTATGAGAAACACACTGCTGACAAATGTGCTAATGCATGTGCTCCTTCCAGTTTGCAAAATCAAGGGACCGTTCCAAATCTTAGACGCGGGGGTCTACACATCTATTTGCTCTCTTATCAGATTACGGGTCGCTATCGATCTTATTCGGATAAATCGTAAGTCAATTGGAAACCTATTAGCTAAACTGGACGGAAAGTTCACTACCTAGGCGAAGCTATATTGGTCCCACAAGCCTAAGCTAGCGATTTGACATCACTGGTATTAAAATTTTGGCTCCATATCATCAATTGATCACGATTTATGAATAAAGTTTGTTCTTAACTCGATCCTACCACTTGAAACTTGCGGCAAATTACGAATTGCCTCCCAAAATTTCAATGATCGTTGCAAACTACCCCCAATATTTCAATATTTGCAATTTGGCCCCCTGCCCCATATTTTAGAATTCGACTACAATGTGTCCCATGCCGTTAACTCGATCAAATTTTACTTGGAGCTTCGACCCCACGAAGGCGTGTGACTGATTACGGAAGGCAGATTCGTCATATAAAGAAATATATCGCATGTGAGAGCATGTGACTAAACTTCCGTGGAGAATTTTACCGAAGTCAACGCTAGACGCTCAAGGATACATAGTTCTAAAATATGGATAATGACACGGATAATCCTTGAACTTTGGCCTAATGTGCAATATGGTCCTCACGTTGAATAAATTAAAAGTTCAGGGACCACATTGAACATGTAACAAAAGTCTAGGGATAATATTGAGCAAATTAAAAGTTCGGGGACCATATTGCACATTACTCTAAAGTTCAGGGACTATATTGAACAAATTAAAAGTTCAGGGATCATATTGCACATTAGGCCAAAATTCAAGGACTGTCTATGTCATTTTCCCCGTACAATATGCACATGGATACATAGTTCCTTGACCAGTTTGCCTTTCATAACTAGCCATCCATAGTCACATGACGATTATGCGAGAAAACATTGGGTGGAGTCAACTCTAAGGACACTACTTTCCTACCAATTTCAAAAATTCACGGGATGAATTGTAAAAAGTAAAACATTGAGGATTACTTTCCTCACAATCTCAAAAATTCATGGAGCAAAATGTAATTCAAACCGAGCTCATTTATTTTTTGGGCCAAAATAACATTTCATTTTTTTTTTTTTTTTTTTTTTTTTGGTAACCCAGGGAACCCCCGCACGGCCGACAGCCGGGGAGTAAACCCTGGGGGCGACACGTGCTAGCCACCACACACGTGCCATTTTCACATAAATACAAAAGAGAAACAACACGGTCTAACTACAAATCAAGATAGAGACAAAAAAAAGCTGCAAATCAAGACAAATCTCAGATAACATCAAAACAAAATAAACTCCAAATAACGAAATTAATTATCAAAGCAAGGTTAGAAGCCATATGCTCAACGATCAAATTCGTGACTTCTTCGAACAAAAATCGACGGCCAATCACAGAATTCATATTCAATAATAAGCACGCATATCGAGATCTCTATCCTTTGCTTGCGGCGGTGCCCGCCAAGCTCGTTCACCTCCCAAAGTCAACGAGCGATGTGACCGTTGAATCCAAAGTAGTAATAATAGAACGCAGACAGATTATTCTTCGCAAACCAGAGGCGGCCTGAAAAGGCCAAAAAAACCACAAACCAGAAGCACATCGCATTCTGTAGCTACATCGCGATGGAAGAGACGACGACGAAGACGAAGACGAAGAAGAGCGATGAGACGACGCCGCTGCACGTAGCGATGTTCCCGTGGCTGGCCGTCGGCCACTTCATCCCCTTCCTCCGCCTCGCCACCCTCCTCGCGCGGCGGGGCCACAAGGTTTCCTTCCTCTCCACCCCCGGCAACCTCTCCAGGCTCCCCAAAATACCCCCGCCCCTGTCCTCCCTAATTACCCTCGTGCCCCTCCCCTTCCCGGAGACCCCCGCCGCCGCCGCCCTGCCCCCGCTCGCCCAGTCCTCCTCCGACGTCCCCAACCGCCACCAGCAGCTCCTCAAGCCCGCCTTCGACGCCCTCCTCCCCGCGCTCCGCTCCTTCCTCCGCTCCTCCCGCCCCGACTGGATCCTCTACGACTACGCCTCCCACTGGCTCCCCGCCCTCGCCGCCGAGCTCCGCCTCCCCCGCGCCTTCCTCAGCCTCTTCGCCGCCGCCGTCCTCTCCTTCTTCGGCCCCCCGGCGGGTCTGGCCTCCGGCGGGAGGTTCCAGTCGGGGGGCGACGGCGGCGGCGGGGACCTCACCGCGGTCCCGCCGTGGGCCCCCGCCGGGTCCGGCCTGGCCTTCCGCCCGCACGAGGTCGCGAGGGTCGCGGAGCGGTCGGAGGCGAGGGTGGAGACCGCGCACGACACTGTGCGGTTCGGGGTCTCGATCGGGGAGAGCGACGCGGTGGCGGTCCGGACGTGCGAGGAGTTCGAGCCGGAGTGGCTCGGCCTGCTGCGCGAGCTGTACGGCGGCAAGCCGGTTTTGCCGGTCGGGCTCTTGCCTCCAATGGACGACGAGGATGAGAGCGATGACGTGGAAAGCAAAGAGAGATGGGAATTCATGAGAAGTTGGCTGGATGGGCAGGCGGCGGGCTCGGTGGTCTACGTGGCATTCGGCACGGAGGTCACGCTGACCCGGGCCGAACTCGCGGAGTTGGCTCTCGGGTTGGACCGGTCCGGGTTGCCCTTCTTTTGGGTGCTCCGGAGGTCGCCCGGGTCGGATCGGGACGACGGGCTGGAGGGTCTGCCGTCCGGGTTCTTAGAGAGGGTGAAGGGCCGGGGGTTCGTCCACTCCGGGTGGGCCCCGCAGGTGAAGATCCTGCGGCACGAGTCGACCGGGGGGTTCTTGACTCATTGCGGGTACAACTCGATCGTCGAGGGCCTCTCGTTCGGGCGAGTCCTGATTACGTTCCCCGTGATGAATGACCAGGGGATCAATGCGAGGCTGCTGCTTGCGAAGGGGGTCGCGGTCGAGGTGCCGAGGGACGAGATGGATGGGTCTTTCACGGGAGACTCGGTGGCCGGGTCGGTTCGGTTGGCCATGGTGGACGAGGCGGGGGAGCCGGCGAGGGCGGCGGCGAGGGAAATGAAGGGCGTGTTTGGAAGCAAGGAGATAAACGACGGCTACGTGGATGAATTTGTTCGTTACCTGGAAGAGCATAGGAAGCCAAAGTTCATGATGAATTAGAGCTTCTTGACGAGATTGGAATTAGCCATTGCCCAAATGTCTAACTTACCAGCTTATGATTGTCGGACTGTACATTTCTTCTACTATTTGCAAGGTTCATACCAACTGACAAGATTAACCTGTAAATTCTTGATGCTGTAATCTTTCCACGAATTTATTAATGAAAAGGAAAAAAAATGATTCTAACTTTATTATAACCTTCTACGCACTCCGCACTCCAAAAGATCCTGGCCTGAACCTTTATTTCTACCATATCGCAAGTGAAAATTCGCGCGGTGGAGCGACACTGAACAAGGCGGCATGGCTTGGTGTCGGGGTCACGGGACCTTAATTCAGAGTTGTGCACCTCAAATGATGGTGGTGAGATCTCGAACAGGGACCGTGCGGCCTTGATTCATGGTTGCGCGATTTCCACCGAGGTGAATTCTGTCACTGTTAAAGAGAGAGAGAGGCAACGGTGGTGGTGATCAGAGAGAAAGTGTGTGGTGATGGTAGCGAGTCGAGAGAAAGCGCAGCTCTGCCAGTGTTCGGCAGCAGCCACAATGCCGACTTACACATTTAGCTGTGGCGGAGGAGGAAGATTAGAGGAAGGAGAAGCAAAGGAGAGAGAAGGACAGAGGAATAAAGAGAAAAGAAAGGTAGAAATAAAACGTGAGCTTGACCAGTCATCAATGCACTTTGCTTGCTCACCGCTGAGGCGGCACTTCACGTTTGTAGAATACAAATCACAAGAAGTTCCATTTCACAGGAAATATAATCTTGGAACCGATTGTCGGGATAAGTTCCGAGTGGACCTAGAATCGCTCACTACTATCTATGACTCTCATAATGGTGTTGAAGAAGCGAGAGAGTGTGTGTTCGCTTGTAATCTCCAATGTTTTGGCTGATTCAAGAACAGCTAAAACCAGCAAAGGGCAAGGACAAAGGAGATAAGGATCAGTCTCCTGAGATTTGATGATGGCTCTGAATTTCAACAAGAGGATTGAAAGAGTCACCACTCTCTGTGCCCTCTCAGGTCTTACTAGTGGGTGGTCTTACCAGCTTATGCTCAAATGGGTTTCAACAGAATATGGAGAAGAAAGAGGCTGAAGGCGACATGGGACTCGCAGACCACTTTGGTACGACCACTAAACATAATAATCAGTCCCGAGAGATTACTGTGATGTTATCAATTTGGCCCTTAGGACTGTTATGGTTTCATTTTATTGGACCAGTCCCCGATGAAATTTGTCTGACAGCATTGAAAATCCCTCTTTGCAGGTAACTTGCTTGGAGTTGATGGGAAGAGCACGAATGATGGGCTCTTCACTCTGGGAATCAAGTCTCTCCATTTCTTCATTGCACTGTTGTTGCAGTTCAAATTTGTGTTGCCTCTGCAGCAAGAAACCTGGACGATGCCAATAGTGTTCTGGGTCGCGCTTAGCGGATCAATTTCTTCCATGTCTATGGACTACTGAAGAGATCAGAACTTCTAAAACATTTCCCAAGGCCTCAAAGCAGTCAATAGGGAAGAGAGCACGTTTCTCACAGGAGCTTTTTAAGGTACATTTCTACGTCCAGATGTTATTGCCTTGTACTTCTAAATCTTTCCGGAGGATGACGAAATGAGTATTACCCAGACAAGAGACGCAAACCAAGAAACTTCACCATAATGAGATCATGCAATACATCTGAATTTGCTTCTCATTAAGAATCTTGTCAATTGTTCGAGAACAAGCATTTGCACTCAAAACATATAGCACCTATGTGGCTCCAGACCAAGTCTGCTGATAATGACTTAATTACTCTCGTCAAATATGACAATAGCTCTATCCTAAAAGGAATCAAAAAGTAAGCTTCCATTGAATAATTATCTAGGTCCTAATAATAATCTGCAATATTTCAGACACTTTCTTTAGATTAGTCAAACCCAACAATGCCACTTGAGTTCTCCATGTTAGCACAGCCAGAGCAATAGTTTGCAGCTGAGGTCACTTCATCGACTCCAGAAATGTTATTCGTCTCCCTCAACAAAGTACTAGCATCTTCATGAGGGACAAGGAGTGTACCTTGAGTGCCAAGGTTGCCTTGATTGAAATTGGAAGCTAGGCACTGCAAATTTTGAAAATTAAGAGCATTCACAGGAGCAATATCCACACATCTTTCGCTTTCATTTCCATTTGTATTGAGCCCCAAGTCCCTCGCCGATGGTCCAGTTGCACCTTCTGAGACTCCAGATGGAACAGGGTTGTTGATCCTTAGATTAGGATTTCCCGTATTCTGAATTTGATCATTGCCTAACTTATCCGCTGAGAGCTTCCTTTTCGACGATTTCTTCTTGAAGCGCGCTTTCTTTGCCTTGGGAGGATTTCCAGCGTCCTCAGCATTAGTAGCCGTCTCTATCCCTCTCTTTTTACATGGAACGACCGTCAGCTGAGAGTTGGTAATCGGTTTCTCAGATGAATTGGGTGTACTCGACTGTATGGCAAGAAGAGCTGTTCGGGCAGCTTTAATCTCCGCTTCTTTCTTGGTTTTTGCAGTGGCACCAATGTAACGAATTCCACCAATCTCAACAGTGCATGAAAAGAGAGGCACTCTCCCGGTTGCCTCATCCTTTCGGCATTCATACAGGGGAATCGCATAATTCATCTTCTGCGCATATTCCTGAAGAAGGTTTTTGCATAACCCCGTTTCATGCTGCAAAGAATAATCGTTATAACAAGTCCAACTCATATAGGCACAGAAATGGGTCACAACTAACATAAATGCAAAAAAGATCTGGCCCGGAGAAAGAAGAAGATGCAAAGAAAACAGCTACAAGGGAAACAGAGAAACAGAATCAATTTCGCAGTCTCAGACAATGGAAAGATAAAAGGATCAGAAACTTCCCTAAGAGACTTCACATATGTACTGACATGGATTATATGTCATGTAAAAGGTTGAAGAAAAATGTGAAAATTCTGACCAAACTAGATGTACTGACATCAGTCTTGTTGATTACCAAGGCCCATGCCAACAACTAAAGAAGAGAACCATAAAACCGAGGAGGAACTTGTTATTAAGTCTCATTACTACTTATTAAGCATGTATACAGCAGTACAGTAGACCATATATCATTCAACTATATCTTGGACTTGCAAAAATGAATTTTGAATCTAAAGGAATGCAATTTGATTGCTTAATGAGGCCTAGCAGGATTAAGTCTTTCTCCAGCTAACCAAGACAAACAACCGCTAAACAATCAAATCATCTCCTCAATATCAACTATGCATATATATAGCAGAATTCTTGTGCATGGCACATAGAAAACTATCAATATGATTAAAGTAGGCTGAATAATACTCAATTGCTTAATGAGGTCTTGCAGGAGCTTTAGCACACTTATTATCCAACTATTCAGCAATCATAATATTGAATCAGCTCCTCAATTCTAAACAATACGCACTAAATCTGCAAAATCGTTGTTCCATTACAAAAATAAGGAAAACACCTATATTATTGTAGGTATGCCATAAAATATATTTACAATTTAATCTTATCTAGGAGTGCCTATTGAACTTACAACTGGTTGAGAAATGCTGTCACTGATTTCACCAGACTTTGCTAACTCCAGCAATGCAACTTCGGCAGCTGACTGCTCGGCTGCTTTCCGGTTGAAGAACCCAGGTAAAGAATCATATCTGACATCATTAACAATCACCGTTGATCTAAATGAAGGTTCATGCGAAGGACCTTCTTTTATGGTCTCATAGACTGGGGTTGGTCGTCCCACTTTTTGTGCATACTCTTGCAACCGACTCTTGAAGACGTAGCAATTTGAGACACCTAATTTTTATCCAAAAATATATCATCAACGATTAAATGAAGTAGGAAATTTGGAAATATCAAACAGGCAATTGAAAGTGGAATCCCCGCCCCCCAGAAAAACGAAAAACGAATAACACACGTGCCAATCCCAAAAAGTTCATTGTTATAGACTCACGTGGACTTCAATTACTTTTGCATTCTTTGGTATTTGCTTTGCAAGGGTGTTAGATTTTTCTGAATGGATAACAGTACTTCCTCTTTGCAATAGTGATTATTCACATATTTCATCAATATTTTAGTTTCATTAGCATTCTTTGGTGTTTTCTTTGAATATGATGTTCGATTTCTAAACGGATACAACTTCAAGTACTTCTCTCTTTTAAATTGTAATTATTTCATACGTTGCATCAATATTTTTGTTTCAAGTACATTGGATTTGTCAGGAATATTGGAGGACATGACTAACGGAAGGACTTCAAGTTTTTTATGCTAAAGATTGATAATATTCATGATGAGGCTATGATCCAAGGTTTGATGCTTATGGTAGGGTTGCATATCTTTAATAAATTTTTTTCATAATTAGACAAGTTCCACTAGAAAAATTGACTAAGAAATTACATAATCAGTTTTGAACTAGTGATTAGTGTTGACAGACCATTTAATTCATAAATAGATTATAAAATTTAATCTAAGTTTTCATATTAAAAAAATTTATAGATGACGGTGAAAAATTTTAAAATTGCTTGAAATAAAGTCAAACACTTATCCCAACGTGAAGAAAAAAGGTGAAGTTTCAATATATTATTAAATTTTCTACTAAAGTTGTAATGTGTGCAAGAAATGCTTCATAGTTAGTTTAAATCATGATTTCGAATTTGTCTATATTTAGTGGTATTGTGTTGAGAACCTGTGCAACGCACAGGCTTATGTCTAGGTTAACAGCAAGAAAATGGCAAAAGAAACATGGAAAAGTGGATCTACTAGCAGCAATATACATGAAGCAAAGTTGAAAACATGAAAATTGGAAAAGAAAGCACTAAGACACAATGATCATGGGAGTCCATCTGCTTGTGAAAATCGAGGAATGCTCAATAATGGTGAAGTGCCCACCATAGCATACATGGGCACCAAGAGAGAGAGAGAGTTCTTAGCACTGCACTAAATGGAGGGGGAGAAGATTGATCTCCATCTTTAGCACTTTAAGTGAAACAAGAAAAGAAGGATTCCTTCTTCGAGGTTACCACTTCAAGAAACAAGCATGCACAGAAATTTCAACGAAAGATCAGAACCAAAAAATACTACACCAGAAATTAACGGGCATTATTCATCCCAAACTTCTTAGTAGGAGTCACTGATGTTCCACAAGAAAAATCTAGTATTTCCTGGTTCACGGAGAATCTGGGGAGAAGATCAGCAATTTCTCAAGCGGAGGGAAATCTCCTCTGTGAAGTTTTGCAATTTGCAGAAAACAGTATCGACCATAATTTCATCATGATTATATTCTTCAGGAGTACACAAAAAAGATGAATAATGTGATCATTCCGCTCTATGAATGCCAAATTGACGAAGCGCCAGAGAGATTAGGGCTATGTTTGTTTCGCCAAAAGTGAATAATTTGGAAATCATTTTCCTAAAAATTATTGCTTGCATAGTATGTAAGAATGATATTTTTTTCAATTGTAAACGAAAATGTTTAGACATAAATTTGTTATTGATAATTAAAACATTTTCCATCGACTAATTATTTCGAGCGATACAAGTGATCGTTTTTACAAAAATGCGAAACAAGCAGAGCCTTTTACGCACATTGGAAATCCAAAGAAATCGTGACAGCACAGCAGTGCTCCACGAGAACAAAGAAAGGCAGCGGCAACAGAGCCGCTTGAACATCTCAGCCGTGCCAGAAATCATCTAGGGTTACTCAGCTGATAGTCATTCCTCGCAAAAAGAGGGAGGCTCGAGAAGGAAAGACTCCAACTTTGACATCACACGCGATCAGATTTTCAGAAAAAAGAAGCAATGGTCCATCTGGGTTCTTGCATATGATGCCTACTACCAAGAAAAATGTAAGAAAAAGAACAGGGAACACTTTGGAATTATACCCAGAAAGACTCTAACGTCGGCAACATACTCAGAGAGAGAGAGAGAGAGAAAGAGAGAGAACGAGAGTAAAATCTGCGTATATACCCTTTTGAGATCAACACATAAATCAGAAGAAATCAGACTGAAAAACAAAACCTTTGATACCTGAGAAGCCGTCGTTCGCGGGCATCGTTTTGTTCGGAACGATGATGATCACTACGCGACGAACAGGCGAGAAGAATTCCTGCTTTCTCGGGTTCTTCTCGCGGATTCTGGGTACAGAACGAAAGCCGAGAGGAGATGAATCTCGCGCTCGGAACAGGATTCCTTCTGCAACCAAAAGCCGTGAGATTTCGATTCGAAAACGAGAAAAACCCAAGAAAAAGGAAAGAAGAAGAGGCGAGATTAGGCCTGCACTCTGCACTTGCACTTGCAGACAGTGCTCGATTCTGCTCCGAAGGCTAAAACCCCAAGAGGGTTCTTTAGAAATTTCTTTACGGGATAATAATATAGATAGTCCATGAACTTTACCTTATATATAATGTGCTCCTTAAATTTTTAATTTATTCAATATGATCTTTAAAGTTTTGATACATATTCAATGAAGTCCCTGAACTATATGAAAATATTCAATATTGTCCTTCCATTAATTCAAGTTAAAGGATAATATTAAACATTTTCGTAGTCTAGAAACTATATTGAATATATACCAAAAGTCTATAGATCATATTAAACAAATTAAAAGTTTAGGAATTACATTACACATCGAGCTAAAGTATAGGGATTAATTTGAACAAATTAAAAGTTTATGAACTATTTATGTCGTTTTCTCTTTCTTTATTTGCCAATAAATTAATTCAGATTTTTTTCCTTTTTTTCCTATTCAACTCATAATTATTCGAGATTTTTTCTTTTTATGCTCCCTTTTTTAGGATTGTTGCAATTTGCCCCCAGTTTCAAAATTTTCAATTTGCCCCGTGTTTTTTTAAGAATCCATTGCAACGTGTTCTTCATCGTTGCCTTTATCAAATTTTGCTTACAAATTGTGATCACGTGACAATATGTGACTGATTATTACGGATAAATTCGTCGTATATATTAGAAGAATAGTTCATAAACATATTGCATGTGATTAAAATAGCTGCGAGAATTCTGCCTCAGTCAATGACAAATGGACATCGATATATTATTCCTTACATAAATATATGATCAATTTGCCTTTCATAATTAATCACATGCACTCAAATGGACCAATACGTGACAAGTTGACTACAACTTTATGGGGGCATATCATCACATCAGAATGTACTCTAAAATTTGCAATATGCCCCCATAGAATTGGGAAGAGATGGGCCTGCAAGGAAAGGTGCAGGAAAACTGTGAGTGTGCAGCGGGCAACTTATGCGAATCCTAATGGAACCCCTGGGGGTTTTGGGCATTTTGGTGGACGAAAGAGTGGATGTGGAGGTCTTGCAGCATACAAAGAACTTCAGTGATACTAAGGTGACTAGTGTGGATGAACAGCACTCGGGAAGAGTTGGTTGGACTTACATTGATCCAGATTTTCAGAAGAAATGTATCCCCGTGGGCAAAAATTTTAAGAAACTGACTGAAAGCATCCATGAGTCCTGGATGCGTATTGGAGATTTCAATGGAATTAAGGAGATGGAAGAGAGAAGCAGGGAGGAAGCCATGAGGCAAAAAACAGGAAAGTGCCAGAATTCGAAGGACAAGTTGTCTTCTGCTGGTATGATTGATATTTGGCTTTCATGGGCAGTCAGTTCACATGGTGCGGCGCGATAAAAACGGAAAGGTTTGACAAAGTGGTTGTAAATGCTGATTGGATACTCAGTGGTCAATATCAGAGAGCCAAGAGAAGATTGGACAACTTTCGAAGAGCATAGGAAAGTGATTAAAGGAAATTTGGCGCCCATCATAATCATTATATTTTTTTATTTTTTTATTATAAATTTAAAACAGAAATCCGTTTGATAATACAATTTCATTTTTCTATTTCTAGAATAAATTTTGATTTCGGAAACGACTTTGGAATAGAAATGAGAGGTAAAATTTTTTTACTTTTATATTTTTTTGAACATAAATGAGAAATAAAAACTCTTTCCATCGCTTGCCCTGGCTACTAGCCGGCCGTCGCCATTTGTTTGCCTCTTGTCTCTGTCCATCGTCCTCCACTCGACATTGGCCACCTCCTGCCGTCCGCCCCTGCCACCGACCACCAACCTCCGTCGGCCGCTTCCTGGGAGGGAGAAATTTTATGTCGTTACCAAGCGAATTTCTATTTTGAAAATAGAAATTTTGTGTCGTTATCAAACGTGCATTTTTGCTCAAATGCTCGTCCAAGGAATAGAAATAGAAAAGTCAATTGGCGAGAAATTGATTTTTGGAATATATTGATTATCATTCGCGCTCATAATACTTCAACTTCGAGAGGCAATTAAGAAATTGGGTTGATAGTAGAAATAGTAAAATTTTCTTCAGAAATATAGTAAGCAACCTAAAGTAGTCGTCGCCTTTTCTTTTTCCATGTTTTTAGAAATTTACCTAAAGGGTTAATACCACGGAAAAACCCCAAACTGGTATATTTGTGACAATTTAACCCAAAAACTAATTTTTTGACCACCAAAAACTCCAAACTGGTAAACATGTGACAAATTTACTCTCAATTTTTTTCCATTAAATTTTACTGTCAAATTATTTTGTTAAATAACACGCGGCAGTTGATTGATGTGCCGGTTTTGTGTTTTACCTTCCGTTTGTCATGGGTGTATCAGTTTGTGATTTTTTGTGGTATTAATCCAATTTAACGGAAACTAATGGAGGGTAAATTTATCACAAATTTTGTTGTCAAAATATTAGTTTGGGATAAAATTGTCACAAGTATACCAGTTTGGGGTTTTTTATGGTCAAAAAATTAATTTTGGATAAAATTATCACAAATATATTAATTTGGAATTTTTGGTGATATTAATCTTACCTAAATGAGTGTAACGTTTTTTTTCGAGCTTGTAACCCAATGGACCCACAAATAATAATCCTCGGTTGTCGTAATTTTCCCTTTAACTTATTGTGCGGGCTTATGGTCCCCACTTCAACAAATTTTCTTGACCATCGATAATAAGTGACGACTTTAGCAGGTTTTCATTATATTTTCTTAAAATTAATATGAAGGATGGGATTTTTTTTTGTCTTCGACTCGAATGGCCTATAGAATTATAGATGTTTCTTTTTTTCAATTTTCGTTAAAAGCGTACATGAATCAACCCTCAATTTAACCGAAAACTTCTCCAATTCGCCATTTCAACTTGAAAACGACCGGCCAAAAAAAAAAAAAAGAAAACTCAAAAACATCGCAAGTAAAAAAAATTTGTGATAAATTTACCCCAGTGGCCACCCTTCTCACTTGAGAAGGGGGAGGTGGGGAGTTCGAATCCCCACCTTCGCAGGGGGTAGGGGTGGGGCCGCGTAGTTTAAGATGTGGGTTTCGACGCTCACGCCCTGCAAGAGGTGGCGCGCAAGTCTGAGTGTGTATTGTGAGTGAGAAATAGAGTAGGACCGACCAAAAAAAAAAAAAAAAATTTTCTCTCGCTACAATACAAACTAAATCATGAAATTTTTATTATTGGAACCGATAGGAAACTCCTAAAATTAATTAACAAAATGTGATGAGCATTGAGTTTGAGCTCGTCGTCCTATTAGAGTGCGATTAGAATAAATCCCGATCTAATTTTTAGACGGAAATATTTGACAAAACAGAGCCTATGGAAGCCAAATTTGAGTCACGGTGGACCTTTTCAAATTTCTTTCTAGACATTTGGGGCCAAGTGCGTCGAAAGGATAAATGTTTTGTGATGTTATACGGAATCAAGCCGCAATTGAGAAGGCGAACTTCTTTTTTCATTTCAATTGCGTGTTTCTCGATCAAAATTATATTACAGAATCTTTTAGATTCTGAAGAATCGTATGACATTCTACGAGTTAAAATTTGTAGGGTTCGAAAAGGGCGCGAGCGTTTCATGTTAGAAGAAATTATAGAACGCGAGTCGTAGAATTTGAAAAGAGTTCAAAAGGTAAAAATAAATTCTAAATAGGAAAGTAATTTTGACTTGCGAGTACTTGTTAAGTGTGGAGAGAGGGACGGATTCTTCGCGTAGATAAAAGTTAGGGGCGAGCATTAAAATCGGACCGAACCGAGAATCGGATCGAATCGGCCGATTCTGGACGGTTCCCAGTTTCTAAAATTCGAAACCGGTGATTGTCGGTCCATTTCCCGGTTCCGGGTGTAAACTAGACAGTCCGGAACTTTACCGCTTTTCCATCGAGATTCCTGTTGATTAAAGATCCAAAACGCTAAAGAATGAGAGTTTAGACCATGCAATAAAAGATATCACCTCGGTTTCAGGACCAGATGGGCCAATTCCTAGTTCCACGATCCAGTGTGGGAACCGACTTACCCCGGAACCGATTACTTTGGCGGAATTCGAAAAGTTGGGGCAATTTCGTGAAAAAGCGAAAGTTTGGGGGTAAAATTGAGGAAACCCAAAATTGACAAAACAATCGAGATTCTCTGTCTCTAATTTTTCTTGTCTTCCCAGAAAGAACAAACCCGCCCGAACGAGACGTCTCTCTCTTTCTTTCTCTCTCTACACACTGCTTCTGCTGGATAAAAATTTGATCTTTGGGTTCTCTTGCCGGTTCAATTCTTGGCCCACGCATACCATGCTCCGGACGCCATGAACGAAGCCGTCGTTGAATCGAAGCCCCAGAAGAGGAAGGGCTCCATCAGCGAAGAAGACATCTCCACTCTCCTGCAGAGGTTCGCCTTCCTCTCTCGCTCCCCGCTCGGCCACGAATTGTGTCTCCTTCATGGCCCCCCTTTTTGCTTTGTACTTTCTTTCGTGTTTTTGGGTCCGCGGGTGGATTTGGGTGTGTATCGGTTCTTGTGGAGGGACTTATTCGGGCGCGTCTGCTGATGTGAGGGTGGGTCTGCTCTTGGGCAGGTATACGGCAACCGCGGTGTTGTGTTTGCTTCAAGAGGTGGCTCAGTTTCAGGGTGTGAAGGTGGATTGGAATGAGTTGGTGAAGAAGACGTCGACCGGGATAACTAATGCGCGGGAGTACCGGACGCTGTGGAGGCACTTGGCCTACCGAGGCACGCTGCCGGAGAAATTGGAGGATGGAGATGAGCCTCCGGTGAGTTTTGGTGTTTTCTCTTTCTCGGCTTCGCGATTGGAGGAATGGGTGCATTTGCCTTTTGGCTTTGGGATGGATTAAAAGCTGTTGGGGTGATTGGTTACATTTGTATCGCGATATTCTTGAGCTATAATTGCTTTAATGAGTAGGTAATGTGGGTTTAGTTAGGAGTACTTGATCGTAAAGTAAAGATTGATGTGTATCGATGACTTTTAAATCGGTAGCGTCATAAAAACGTGGATTCCTGCCAGAGAAATTGGAGGATGGGGATGAGCCTCTGGTGAGTTTTGGTCTTTCTTCTTTGTCGGCTTCATAATTGGAGGAATGAGTGCATTATTTGCCTTTTCACTTCTGGACGGATTAAAAGCTGTTGGACTGATTTGTTACATTTGTGTCGCGATATTCCTGCGCTATAATTGCTTTAATGAGTAGGTAATGTGGGTTTAGTTAGGAATACTTGATTGTAAAGTAAAGATTGATGTGTATCGGTAACTTTTAAATCGGTAGCGTCATAAAAACATGGATTCTTTGCACGTGTCTACTAACCGGTCGAGTGGAGGAATATGTACCTACTAATATGCCATGATTAGATTGACCTTCTTTGTTGAAAACTGAGGGGCATTAAATGATCATCCTATTACGCGACATGCAATTTGGAGAAAATTTTAAGGGTAGCAAAAGTGGCTCGTTTGCCACCTAATTGTACCCTCGATGTTGACATCTCGGAATAAAAAATACCGCCTTTGAAACCAGGGTGATTGGACCCTTGTCGGAGAAGATTGTCCCTGTTTATGTTTTAGCCTTCGAGGATCCTTCCATGCATGGAAGTGGTAATTTCTTCATGAAGAATGTTTCCTAGATTCTGGAAGTCATTTGTCTTGGTACGCTATGACGAACTGACATTGCTGGTCTTAGGCAGTCGGGGCGGTTAGCTAAGAATTCCTTACCATGGCTTGGCTCATCAAAGCATCCCAAGCGTCCTACATATCTAAAAATTTTATGGATGGATTGACGCATTGTGCTGTTCAAGGTTCTCAGAGTGAAAAATATGCCTTTCAAGCCAGACAGTCCTTGTGCCTTTATACAGAGTGTAGAGTTATATCTTTTCCTTACGAAAAGTGACATTGTGCTGGCACTAGTGATTCCTTGAACTGGTGTAGCCTTCCAAAGCCCTAGGAAACTAGTAGATATAGATGATAGCACCTATTGTACTATTATGTTCCTTACAATTGGACAATCTTCTCTAATAGCCTTCACTTCCACCGTACATAGACATGAAATAAAGCAGTAGTTTCCTCATGAAGAAGGATGCTTGGATTTTGAAAACTGTTTCTTATTTTATGTGATGCAAGGCCAACTTAACGCTGTCAATTACCGGTGGTTTGCTTTGCCGAGAATTCTACTTTCTGTGTGATGTGGAGTTTCTTTATCCCAGCTTTAACACTGTTGGGATCTTTGCCTATGCATGCGGAATGTGAAACATTCACACAAAGTTGTTAACATATGCCCTGTTTAATGTATGGTTTCAAATGACGTTGCTATTTTTTTTGTCGATATTTTATGAATGGGAGCAGCATTAATGCAACTGTGGCTCTTGCCCATGCTTCTGAAATAAAAACAAAAGAGGGTATGGATGGCTTGACGAATTGATTGGATGCTGTATTTTTTAGCTGGATGTGGCAAATTGCCATAAGGTTGCTTGAAGATTTGGTTGACATTGTACAATGTGCGTTAAATAAACCTGTATTACTCATAGGATTCTGATGCTGATCAATGGAAAGATACTTTTAATTTTTTAAACATATGAAAGAGCAATGGTAATGATTTTCTGTGGCCGTAGTCTCTTGAATGTCACTGGGATACACTTTGGTTGTTCATTATTCTTCAGGTAAATACTATAAAAAAATCCATAGCAAATACCCTTCTCTCTACTAGTTGTCAATTAGGTACTTTCTCATTCATCATTTGTTTTCATACGGTCAGAATTATAATTTTTTTTAGTACTGCTGTTTATATCCCTTTGGGGTGAGATTGCAAGCTTTCATTATTAGTAGTGGAATTTATTATTCATTTTCTTCATCTCCTCCTCCTCCTCCTTTTACTGGCGGCTGATTAAGCAAAGATCTGTCATTGTTTCAAGCACTTTGTATTTCCTCCTTTTATGTCATATAGGTCTAAAGGTTTGCCTATCTAGTTTACATCTTGTATTCTATCTCATGTGTCACGTACCATTATTACCAACAAGTATCAAGTATGATCATGTTGTGCGCTACATTTACTGAGACCTGGTTCTTTTCCGTATAGTAGTTATGACAATCTGTTTTTCAGGATGATAACAGTGACCTAGAATATGAGCTGGAAGCATTTCCTGCAGTGAGCGCTGAAGCTTCGACAGAGGCTGCAGCCTGTGTCAAGGTAATTTTTGTTGCAATTAATGCTCCAATTTATATACGTTACTGCTGCAAGAGGTACCTTGGTTCATAATTATTGTTGGGCAACTTTGAGATATCCATCGCGACATACATATGTAATTGAAATTACTTTAGTTATGCATATGGTATGCTTCTTGATGGTAATACAGCTGAACTTTCGAAACTGCATAGGGTTGGAGCTACACAATTTCCAGTCTTTTGTAGGGAAGGGGAATAGGGGTTATTTGATCGATCTCAAAGTGACACTTGCTAGAAATTTTAACCGAAAAGCTTAAGCCAATAGGTGGAGGGGCATACCATGAATATAAGGCCCATATAAACCTCATTGGCAAGCTACGTAGGATATTTTAACACCTCCTCTAACTTGCAAATTGGACTTAGAATGGAATGTGGAGTTGATGAATGAGAGCCTCATACATGAAATAAATCTGGGTTGAAACCTAGGTTTGATACCATGTTACAATGTCCAATAAAAGCTTAAACTAATAGGTAAAGGGAGACAACATGAATATAAAGCCTGAAAACCCTATGGACAAGTGATGTTGGATGCTTTAAGACACGCTAAAAGTATTGAACAGAATGAATCATGCGACTCCTTATATAGAGATTGCAGATATGATGTATCTATATGAAGGGCCTTTTTTTAAGTTTGAAGATATGCCATTTTGTATTCTAAATTTTTGTTAAAATAGGAGATCAGATTGAGTCTCGAGGATGTGGTATTCAATAGAGGTTTTTGCTTATGAATGATTATCTATAATTTGTGATGGTCCACACGTCACCGTTGCCCTTGTTTACATGACGGGGATGCGAAGTCCATGGTAGGCGGATTTTCCTTGAAAACCTTTGCTCCAGCAAATAATATATCATGCATTGTAAGTTGTAATGTGTTAGAGAAGGAGGGACTTTTCGTTTGCAAGTTTTGTGGGCTGGATCATTATATTCCTGTTATTAATGACATCCAAATGAGCTCATATCACATTCTCAGAAATATGTCTCTCCAGTTCTATTTGATTCTTTTGGTCCATTTTCCAAAGCCTGGGCAGTAGGCACGAGCACACTAGAGATTTTATTTATCTAAACACCATTTTAGTCAACAGGCCAAAGTTAGTTGTCCAACAGGTGGCTCAGTTATCAAGCAGATTCTGTACTCTTACGAAACTACTTTTAGAAGATTGATTCATTGGACAAACGCATGTGTGTGATGCTCAACATCCTTTGTGGATGTGAGGTTTGAATCAGAGCTTTGTTCTGGTTCACTTTAAAAAGATTTCTGTTTTCATGCAGGTACTAATAGGTTCTGGTATAACGAGTGACTCCAGCCTCCAGAATAACTCAACTGTTGAGGCCCCGTTGACTATAAACATACCAAATGGTCAATCATCTAGAGTTTCTGAAAGTTCCCAACCTCTCTGTTATACACAGGGCATGAATATTACTGTACCGGTCTCTGTTCAGAGACAGCCTCTGCCTGCAGTAACATCTACTGAAGGCTTGGATGCAAATGGATTAGCAAGTGGCAACAATGCTTCTCGAAAGAAAAGAAAACCATGGTCTGAGGCAGAGGACTTGGAACTCATTGCTGCTGTACAGAAATGTGGTGAAGGGAACTGGGCAAACATCTTAAAAGCAGACTTTAAGGGAGATAGGACTGCTTCACAACTTTCTCAGGTTTGAGTCCTCTCTCTCTCACACACACACACACACACACACGTGTATTTTCTCCTCAGTAGATGGGTTGAGGTTTTGTTGTAAAAATAGTCATCAACTGCAGTTTTCTTGGTTCATTATCCTGGCTGATGAGTAGCAGCCATAACCTGTTACAATGGTAGATTAGAAAAAAAATTTCCGAGGGAAATTCTTGGTTTAGGATTCTGTCTTTTTATTTATCAAATGTTACCCTTATGTGGTTAGGTTACACTGGTTTAATTAGCTGTCTTTGCTTTGTACTTGCTGTTTATCATGCGATTTCTTTTTCATGTGCAGAGGTGGGCCATTATACGGAAACGGCATGGAAATATGAATGTGGGAATTGCGAATTCAACAGGGCCCCAGCTTTCTGAGGCACAACTGGCTGCTCGTCATGCAATGTCACTAGCCCTTGATATGCCTGTGAAAAATTTAAGAACAGGTTTTCTCTATCTGCCTGTAAAGAATTTCTTCCTAAATGATTTGCAGAATGATGGTTTAACGGTTATTAATTTATTGGTTGACTTTCATGCACCTTGCCGCATCCCCTTGATTTACTTGCTGCCTCTTGATTCATTCTGTCTCATTTTATCACAACTCTTCCTTAGCGTGACTAATCTTTAGTATCTGGTGAAGTGAATCTTGTGGTAGATTCACTTGTTGGGAAGAGGCGTGTTGGTTGTTGGATGAATCTTAGAACTGTTACGCTAGCCAAGAAAAATGTGATATGTAAGCAGTATGTCTAGACTTCTCTTCCTGTGCCAAACAATTTTGAGCTGCCTGGCTTTGACTTTTTACACCAACTTCTGTAGTCTGTTTTGTTTCTATACATCTGCAGATTGAAAATGTTTTTTTCTTTAACAGGAACAACAACAAACGGTACCTTTGGTAACTCTACACAGCCTGCTGCCGCCGCTGAGTCTCCTTTCCCGGGGAACATTACTGGGCTGGCCCACCATCAACCTCAGCAAATTTCACAGCAAAGATCTTCTCCAGTGCAATCTTTAAATATTGCACCAAAGTCTAGGGTTCCCCCAAAAAAAGCATCACCGAAGGCTGATATGAGCCCCGATTCTATGGGAATAAAAGCTGCAGCAGTCGCTGCAGGGGCTCGCATTGCAACCCCTTCAGATGCCGCTTCGCTTCTGAAGGCTGCTCAGGCAAAAAATGCTGTACACATAATTCCTTCCGGTTCTTTAATAAAACCTTCTTCTATTCCTGGAGGCAGTACCACCCATTCCAGGCCCCATCCTGGTGTAAACTTTAGAAGTACCGGGGTTGCTGTTACATCCGGCCATGCAGGCTCTGCTACTGAGAAAGAATCGACTTCTGCAACCGCCAACGTTCCATCTACTCCTGCTAAAGCACCAACTATCTCCCTACAGAAGAGTAATATTTCCTCGGTTGTGGCCACTGAGCTTCCGTTGAATCAAGAAGCCAAGGATGAACAGAAGATGGTTGATTCTGCACCGAACAATATGACGAAGGAGCCAACCAAAGAAGATGGAACTTGTGCTTTGGATGATGCTGCAAGGCAAGTTGCTGAAGATAACAAGGTTCTGGTAAAACCAGAAGCAGAGCAAGGAAACGCAACACCAGTTGAGAAGTCAAATATGGTGTCGAATGCACCAGCGGCTGTAAGTGATCAAGTGTCGAATGCACAAGCGGCTGTAAGTGATCGAAGTGGTGTGGTGAGCACCCAGGCTGAGGGTGGAAATGATAATTGCGACAAGAACTGTGAGAACAGAAGTCTGAATATCCCGCAGGTCGACGCGCCAGGCTTGGCATCCATCAAACATAGTGAAGAAGTAGACGGCACAAGCTAGTTTAAATGAACTTAGATGATTAATTAGATTTAGAGATTGTTATGCAGGTTGAAAGAAAGAAATTTTACATAAGCTTTTGCTTCCAACTTATTTTGAACTTCCAGCATTTGGTGCTCCCCGAGCTTTGTAATATTTCTCAGAATATAGCAATGAAAAGCAAATGATAATTGTCCATCCGTGTTAGTCTTATCTATCTGTCTGTCTATTTAGTCAATATGATCTATCTGGAGAGAGAGATTGATCTATAGTCTATAAGTGAAGTGGTGCTTTCGACAAGAGCTTACCGTGTGAAGTTGACATATGGTTTCGGACCGATTTTTGTATCATCTTTATCATCGAAAAGATCATGTATCAGCGGGCTTCATTTCTTGAAAAAAAAAAAAACTAATGGACCAATTTTCCATACATAACACAGTTTTAAGTAAGTTCTCTGTGGAGATACCTCAGGACTGAGTGTACGCCTCGTTTTATTTTTTTTTATATTACGTGTGTATGTTTCTTAAATTTGTGTATGATTCATCCAAAAATAAGATCACAGAATTACTGGCCCTCTAATCTCTTGTCAACACTAGGCTTGGATATATTTTCTTTCGACAGGAAAGAGAAGCAGAAGCTGCCCTTCGGGTTCATGCAATGACGTGTCTGCAAGATATCAGCAACTTGCATCAGCGGAAATTTAACTGCGGCCCATTCATTCTGCACAGATATTCTATGTTATCACAATCCAACATTAAGAAGTCAGAAAACAGATCATGTACATGTACAATTCAAACAAGTATGAAGACTCGTGGAAGCAAAGCTAAGAAGGCAATGCGCCGCCTCCGAGGTCGCTACCCTTTTTCTGCATCACAGGATTCACGCACGCAAAGATCGATGGCTGCTTCTGCTTCTTCAGCTTAACCCCGAACAAGAAGGACCTCAAGGGTATTCTCGACCTGTGGGATTGATGGCTTTTTGATGCCGAAATTCCAAGATACTCGTCTAGTCTTGCGATGGTCGTCTCAATCTCGGTCTTCAGCTTCTTTACCCGGTCCAGACCGGCATTCAGTTCGTCAGCGACCTTGTTGTTCTCTTGCTTCATGTTCAGGACCTCGCCCTGGAACTTCGCGGCCTGATACTCACTCAGAGAGGGATCTCTAGCGGCGGACCCCGGGTCAGAAACTCGCGTTATCTCATCCTGTAGCCGGCACATGGCAGAACGTCGACTCTCCAATTCGTCCTTCAATAGCGCGTTGTGTTCCAACCACAGCTTGAGTTCGGTCTGTATCTCTCTCAAGTGTCTGTATATGGGCCGAGCTTCGGACTTCGAAGCTTGGTGATTAGTGCTTGAATCTTGTTTCTTGTCATCGAACAACTTCGATAACTCGACTTGTAGATCACGGAAACTTGTTTGGAAAGTCTGCACCTGATGGATTGACGTGCTGAATCTCAACCAGAATTCAATGTTTTCCTCTAGGAGCTCGTCAATTTCCACTCGGAACTTCTCTTCCATGGAAGAAACAGCTGGAGCTTTACTTAATCTGGTTTCTACCTCTCTAGTAGAAGGATTCTTCATGAAACCTTGGAAATTATGCTGAAGCAGCAACTTGTAGAGAGGCTGTTTTTTCTTCGGCACCAACGATGGGCTCGAATCTTGAGAGCTAGATCCAACCGGGATGCTTTGTTGGGGATTTTCTTGATTCGAAGCCTTATCTCCTGATGCAGCGACGTCTTCAGCACCATCCGGCTTTCCATTCTGCGTGCCTAATTTTTTACGAAGAGCCATGATCTCCTCGTCCTTTGAAGTGTTGTCGTTTCGTAATTCCCTGATTTGCATCGCCAATTCAAAGAGGCCATCCCTGTTATCCTTCTCCACTTCGCTTAGCTTCTTCCTCACGTCCTTGTAACTCCTGAGAACCGAAGTGTATTCCCCTAGTAAAAACTTCTCTCTGTCCTCTACGCCAGTCAAGAACATCTGCCTCCAGTCGGGATGATCTTCGCTGCCATCGTGCGAGTCCTGAGGCTCGATAAACAGGTCTTGGTTCTCTTCCTTCTCGTGCTGCACCGATTCTTGGGGTCTCTCAGACATAACATCGAACTCACTAGCTGGGCCTGAGCACACATACATCTCTTCCTCCACGGCTTTGATGGGATCATCGTGAGTAGGAACATTGTCCTTAATCTCCTCTCGCTTAGCCTCCGCAAGTCTTTTGTCATCAGAGACCTGCTGCAGTTCGTTCTCTTCAATCTCCTTTCCTTGTTTAGCGTTCATACCAGCGGTTCTCACTTCATGGAATAATGTTCCACCATTCTCATCCTCCTCATCCAGCTTCACATACTGCAACTTCTCGGAGAGATGGTCAAGGTTTGAGCTGGCTTCTGTAAAGTGAGAGAGGAGGTTCTGGTTTTGGTAGTTGACATTCTGCTTCAGGGCCTTGATCCGGCGCATTTCCTTCTCCAACTCTTTAAGCCTGCTGTTCATATTGTCCGAACCTTCCATCAGAGTTTCCTTTTCATCTTCGAGGGTCTGGATGTGCGTGTGCAGGACATCCGTCTCCGACTTCAATCTTCTCACCAGAGCGGTCTGGGAAGAAACCGCAGTTTCCAAATTGATAACCTTGTCGACCAGTTCATCGACTCTCTCCGCTAGTTCCGTCATAGTGAGCGAGGCTTTCGAATCAGAATTGAGAACTTCCTTCATTTTCTGACCATCCAAGCTCAACTCATCCTCTTGTTGGACCGAGCTCCTCGATTTTGGATTGGCGCCTACCGAGTTTTCTTCCTCCACATTGTCCCTAGTGGTTCTCTCTTCAGGAAGATATTCGCCTTTGAGAGATTTGAGCTTTTCGTATACTTTCCTGATTCTTTCCTGTTCCTCTATCGCCTCTTCAGCGGATTGTTCCTGTTGCTCCTGCATTTTGGACAAGGCCTCCTTGCAAGACTTCAAAGCCATTGTGGCCATTAGAGTCCGAGCCTCATTGTCCTCGATGATGGTACCGATTCCAAATTCGTCCTGTAGGCTGCACACTTTGCCTTGCATTTCCATTACCTCGTTTTCTATTTCCCAGTATCTCTCGTGCCCGCGCTCGAACGAGCTCTTCACGAACTCCTTCTCGGTCTGCAGCGCCAAGATTCCTTTCTGAAGCTTGTCGATCTCCTCTAGCGCCTCGGTTTTGGTCAAACCGGAAGCGGGAGCTATGGAAGTCTTGACGCCGCTCAATTTCTTCTTCAGCTGTGCTTTCCTCGAGCTTGACATCGACGGTTTCCTGAACTCTTTCGTAGGGAGCTTTGGCACCTTAGGAATGCGCCGTTTTGCGGCGTCGGGAAGATCGTTGCCTGATGGCTTCTCAGAGAAGCTTCCGGCAAAGCTTTGCTCATCATCGTCATCATCAACATCAAACTGGACTTCATCAGGAAAAGCCGTGGCTATTTTGCGGTTGGCGCTCTGAAGCTCTCTGGATAAGAGGTCATATCTCTCGGCTAGAGCTCGGTATGCCCGGTAGGTATCTTCCACTAAGCTCTTGAGCTCTGGCCTCTTCTTGTAATACATTTCGGCTCGCTTCGCAAAAGAGTCGCCATCACCGTCGATAATCTTCAGCGTGCTCTGGACCTTGTCTTCAATATCTGCAGTTGAACCTCTGCATATCAGTACTTCCGGATTTTCTCTAACACGCAAATACATCGACTCGAACATGTCGCAGCCATAACACAACTACGACGTCTGCTCTTTCATTCGTTTGGTACTAAACTTCCATATACCTCATCGTACTAAATCCGAATCTTATTTAGCAAAACCTGTTACATTAGCCCATAAAGATAATTAATTTTGTAGGCTTTGTTCATGATGTACTTCAACTTTTTTTTTTCGCAAATCTAACTTATATGCATGCAGAGAATAGCACAACATTGGAAGAAACCAAGCAAGATACAATTTTTTTTTGTCTGCAGAAATGTTAAAATCAGTTTTTGAAATGGCCTTTTTTTACAAACGCGCACATCGCTCGGTTACGAAGGCTAGGATTACACAAATGTCTGCAGGTTGAATGCCGATTTCAATTAGAGACTGGTTTAGGATTTATGAACATTAATCTCGGTCTCTGTCATCAATCTTATGTCATTTGAAATAATAAAATATCTCCATGTACTGATCAAAAGATTCAAAACCTGCGGTAGGAATGGATAAAACCTCTGTTCCAATAGCCAAGTTGCGAAATACCTCTTTCATACAATCCCTTCATCTATTCGAATCCTCCATTACACTTATGATTCCCGCCCTATTTTCTTAAACCCGGAATCGCGACACAGGCCTCGGTTCTATCCTAGAAACCAATCATTTAAATTATACTGCCTCCTCTCTAAACCACCACATTCATTCACTATTGTTTCAGGTCCAACATTTTTCTTCCACATAAATCAAAAGATCTACAGAACTATGATCGCAATGAAACACAAATTTCGAAAAGATGAACAAGATGAAGGAGGAACTGGATTGGATGCCATTACCTTGGAGGCTCTGTTCAAGCCATTTTGATTGCTTAGTCCTGATGTGGCTTGCCCACCACCAAGAATATGCATTACTTGCTGCTCTCTGCAACATCCTCTCCCTCTCCTCTCCTCTATCAAGGCATAAATTTGCAAAAAAGAAATTGGGCAAAGCCAAGCTAAAGTGCAAAATTTAAGCCATTACAGAGAAGCCAGCAAGATGATGGGCAGAGACAGGTCTCATGCAAAGGGAGAGGTCAATGGAATGAACTCTCTGTCCCATCCAACATTGCCTAAATAGGAGCGGAGGATCCGCATTACTTGTCAAAATCCTCTGACTCCTCCAATTATTGCTTATTTATTTATGTACCCAAAAAGGCTCAAAAGGCCAACAAAGAAGAGAACAAGAAAAGAAAACGCATGCCCACGATGCAATTCTGAGATCTGCCAGTTTTGGACAGTGGCAGAAAAACAGAAAACAGATAAAGAAAAATGTGTGAAGTTCTTAATTTAGACATCTGCTTGCCAAAACATGTCTGGGTTTTTTTTTTTACCCGGATGTCTATCCTTGTCAACTTTAGGATTTTAATTGAAAAAAAGAACGATCTTGTTATCGAGAATAATCTAGAAGAAAATAGATCGCGAGCATTCGAACCGATTTATCTGTTTAAACGAAAGTAGACCCGTGTATGATATCCAGACCGATTAACGAATATTGCCAATGTGTTACTTTCAAGTCGTTCGATTGAATCGAAAGAATATCTCGACCTGCATCATGACCAGCATGACAAATATGATATTGGCACTCTGCTATGAGATCTGGTTTTAGCCAAAATTGGTGATCACGTTGTCAAAAAGACCTGGATTTTCCATGGATTAATATTATTACATTTTTGTGGAAGTAGAGAAAACAGTTCTAATTGGTGAAATGGAAAAAGGAATAAAAGAAAAGGAAAAAGAGGTCTTGTTCTGAGCTGGTTAGTGACAAACAATATGCAGTAAGTGCCAACTTTCCATGCTATAATTAGACTTGCCCAAAATGGAAGTTAGAATTTTAGAATAACTTGCCAAAATATTCCATAGCTATAATTGGACTTGAGAGATCACAGCAATATATACTGAAAATGGATATTCTGTATCACGTCTTAATCTAATGTAACATGCTAAAGATAGAATTTACAATTCTAGAACAAATTTCGATCCAAAAAAAATTTTCTTGAACAAATTAACAAAAGACTCTATATTCATGTGTAAGTAGACCGCCTCCATTTACTAAGGGTGTTTTTGATTCAACATCTTCCAGTTTGAGGTATATATTCAACTCATACCGTTTTTTGACTTAAAAAAAAAACTCATATTGTTTTTGTTACTTTCAGACCGGATGAATTGCTCGGATTATTATTGGTCACATTAATGCAGGCCCATAATAGTCACTACATATAGTAAAGAGGAAGATATGATATGTAGAATTTGGTTTCCCCAAATTTGGGAAACTCATCAAGGCGAAAGTATGAAGTTTGGCCAAATGAAAATAGCCTACAAATTTGTCAACAGGACAAAACACAAAAAAGACCAAGTGGGACATGAACTTTCACCAAATAACATGTTAATAAGACAAAAAGAGAAGAAGCAAAATACTCATAAAAACCCTCAAAAGGACATCAACATTAAATTACAGAAAGAGACACAATTGGTAACACATAGAAAAGTCATAAAATCTATGAAAAACAATCCCTAGAAGTCATTAGACCTGTTAAAATAGGTTATAAACTTATTTCTTAACCTTTATATCAATAAATAGGTTAAAATGGGTTAATTATATTAAGTAAATGGGTTATAAATGGGTACAAACATAATATAGGTGTTAAATGGGTCGTAAATGGGTTATAAATGAGTTTACAACTTATTTAAACCTAACTCATCTCTCTCGCTCTCACTCAATCTCGCGCTTACTCACAACGCACTCTCATCTTAGTTTGGGTATGATTTTTCCTATATTTAGTTAAATATTGAAGTGTTTTAACAATATGGGTCGGGTTGGGTATGGGTCAGTTACGGGTCATTAGATTTGCATTACATGGAAATGGGTTAAAACGGGTTAAATGGGTTTATTTGGGTCGGATCATTTTCGACTCAACCCGACCCACCTGTTTGATAGGTCTAGAAGTCATCAACCTTAATAACAAAATCTACATTAAAATATAAAAGATTAAAATTATATTTAAGACTATTTATTAGAAGCACAAAAGTTGTTCAACTGTCCTAAAATTCTAACGCGTGTCTACTCATAAATTAAAAGTAAATTCAACATCAATAGTACTTTCTAAAATTATCTTTCTAATCAAAAGAAGTAGAACACATTTGTGTTAACCTAATATAAAATCAAATAAACTTCTATATTTATTGAAATAAACTTTACTAATGATGAGCAAGCGTACTTTGTGTAGATAAATATTGGATCAAGTAAGATGCGAGCTTAAGCTCGGGTATGGGATCCAAAAAGGAGTTGTTTGCACTTGGTAACGTGGGGATTCAAACTTATATCGTGAGCTTAATTTAGATACAGAAATCAAATCTTTAACTACTAAGGATGCGTTTGGTAACTTGTCAAATAGTGACCGATTCTATTCTTTTGTTTCGTAGAACAAAAAAAGAACAGAAATCTGTTTTGTAAATTTTTTGTTATCGGGCACAAATTTGCACAAATTTATTCCTAGAATCAGTTTTGGAGCAGAATCAAGAATAAAAAAAAAAGTTGCTTTTTGATTCTGGGAACAAGAATAAAAAATACTTTTTCCTTACCAAAAAAAAAACAAGAATAAAAAATAGAAGAGAATTTTTTTTTCTTTTTCTTCTTTACTATTCTTCTTTCCTGTTGTTCTTCTTTCATGGCCTGTGGCCAGGAACTCGACCGTGGCCAAGAAGGAGAAGAAGAAAAAAAGAGAAAGAAATATTAAAATATTTAAAAATATTATTAATAAAAAGAAATTTTGTATAGTTGCCAAATGCATTTCTGTTTTTTTTCTATTACAGGAATGGAAATTTTGGGCTGTTACCAAACGCCTTCAAATGTTTAGAAATTATTTCCGGAAACAGAACAAAAAAAAATCATTTCTGAACAGAAATTATTTTCGGGAACAGAATGGTTACCATACGCACCCTAAGCCAACCTACGGTGTTGTTAGAATAAACTTCAAAGTTAAACTGGGACAACTTTTAATAATTCATATAATATAAAAACCGTTACATTAGCACATCAACAAATATATATATATATATATATATATATATATATATATATATAAATGAATTTACTACATACCATCAATTACCTGAATGACTAAAATTATTATTCAAGCGTTCACTATAAACATTAGTACATGTGTAAGGTTTGGACCGAAACCTTATACGTAAGGAGTAATGTTGTAACTTTTATGGCGATAGACTTATACGCTATACAATACTTAAAAACAAAGATATTTCAAGAATTTATCATACACACACTGCTTAATTGCACATAAATGGCCTTAATTTGTCTTTCCTATTGAACCACTTCCTAAGACAATAAACTTATGTTTATACAATTTCTTAATCTATAATTATTATATGATGATCTCTTTCTTATCAAGGTATAGATACACTAAGGCTGCGTTTGGTTGTCCGGATTTCTAAACAGGATAAGACTGGATAGGATAGGATAAGAAATCCTGGGATTTCTTCATATTCTATCCACTGTTTGGTGGACTACGGATTTAAAGTCGGATAGGATAATTTTTTTTTTTTTTGCTATTCACGGGTCCGGAGGAGTCGGTGAAGGAAAAAAAGCCGAGAAATTTTTTTGGTGAAAGCGCACAAGGTGTGGGGATGAAGATGACGGCGAGTGGAGCGTAGGGTTTCTGGAAAAATAGACATTAGAAATCCTATCCAGGTCTATCCCACCCCCCCTTGGATTTTTTTATCCGGGCTATATCCGGTCTATATCCGAGCTTATCCTATCCTGGACCACCACCAAACACAGGATAAGATAAAACATATCCTATCCTGGCTTTTATCCGGTCGACCAAACGTAGCCTAACAGAATTCACTGCACTTATTATGATTCATTTTCCTGTGCGTAGCAGATTGTTCGGCACTAGTGATTTGACACCACCAAAAGTGTGATTGTCTCTCCAAATACTCGACTATGTTTGCTTTCGTTTGCTTCGCGAAAAATAAATGATTGAAAAAAATATTTTTCTAAAAATAATCGCGTACATTGCTTAAAATAATTATCCAATGCAAAATAATTTCATTATCGACGATAATTTATCACTAAACATTTCGATAGATGATGAAAATATTAGGAAAATTTACAAATTCTTTTTTTTTTTGGGCGAGACAAACATAGCCTAAAAGAAGCTAGTTACAAAGTTTTGGGCATAAATTAGGTGCAGTTGGCTATTGCTCTCCGAGTGACGCTCACTCATTGTTTATTTCCATGCGCATCCGGATCCCTCGACTTATCCCCACTATGTCCTTTCTTTCATCCTCCCCTGTTGCGGTCATTCACCACCACCTTCGCCGCCTTGCTCGCGGCGGTCCACCGAGAGGTGGGGGCAACACCTCGGTGGTCGAGTTGGAAGTCGTCCACATTGTCGACGGACCACTATACACCTCGAATTTGAGGTCGTCGAGGTCATCGACGGCTTGCACGACCCTAGATCTGAGGATGGGGTAGAGGGAGATGGAGGTCTGTTTGTAGCGGCGATTTCGGCGGTGAGAGGTGGACGGTGGTGGTTTCGGAGCCGCGGCTGTGGTTGTGGGCGGTGGTTTCAAACCCTCGCCATGGTCGTGCGCGGTGGACGGTGGACGTGGTGAGCACGAGTTATAATCGTGTGCAAATCCGTATCTATTTCCACAATTCAGCAATTAAAATTAAGGCAACAGCCAATATTTGCGCAATAAGTTTATGAATGAACACCGTACTAAATCACAAAACAAAACAAGCATGTGTATGATGACATATTAATCAGGTCGTGGGGGTGGGGGGTCATTATTGTATATTGGCACCATAGAGTTGACCAGTAAAAATATTAACTATATTCATCGCTTTAATCTGATAATATAGAAGGAAACCAAGGCCACATAATTATTGAGGCGGGGAAATTCTCTAATCCGTTTTTAACCTATTGTACGGATGCCAATCTAGTGTAAACTTTTCGATTATGCCAATTTACTTTGCGCGGAATTCCAACATAATCCTTCTGGCCAATATTGATCGGAAATCGCTAATGTGATGGCGTGCCACGTAG